GTCACGTGGGTCACTCCAGTGGAGAGTCTGCCATGCTGGAAAGGTCATGTGGGTCACTCCAGTGGAGAGTCGGCCATGGTGGAAAGGTCACATGGGTCATTCCAGAGGAGAGTCAGCCATGCTGGAAAGGTCACGTGGGTCACTCCAGTGGCGAATCAGCATCAACAGGCTGCCACTGGAGGTCTCAGCTTGGTTAATGAGCTTCCTCAAGCCTTCAGATGGCCCCAGTCCTGTGGACAGGTGAGTTCAACTACAGGCCAGGCACCGAGCAACACCTGCCTGCTGAGCCTTTCCTAAATTCCTGACCCTTAAAATTAGGAGCAAAATAAAATGGTTGCCTTAAGCCACCAAGTTCTGGGATCACTGCTGTACAGTAAGAGTCTTGCTCTGTTGACCAGGTTGGAGTGCAGTGCTGCAATCTCAGCTCACTGCAACCTCCGCCTCCCAGATTCAAACAATTCTCCAGCCTCTCCCCAGTAGCTGGGATTACAGGTGCCCACCACCATGTCCAGCTAATTTTTGTATTTTTAATAGAGATGAGGATTCACCATGTTAGCCAAGCTGGTCTTGGACTCCTGACCTCTACTGATCAGCCCACCTCTCTTCCCAAAGTGCTGGGATTACAGGCATTGAGCCACCACGTCCGATCTTTTTTTTTTTTTTTTTCTAGCGATGGGGTCTTGCTCTGTTGCTCAGACTGCTCTCCATTTTTTTTGTAGCGTTGGGGTCTTGCTCTGTTGCTCAGACTGCTCTCCAACTCTTGGCCTCAAGCAATCCTCCCACCTCGGCATCCCAAAGCACTAGGACAAGTGACAGCCACTGAGCCCAGCCAGTTGTAAGAGTTTTATATTCTCTAATAACATACTACCTGTTTTCTTAAGCAAAAATAAGCTTTAAGAATAAATATTTGGCCTTTATTTATTTATTTAGAGACAAGGTCTCACTCTGTTGCCCAGGCTAGAGTGCAGGGAGGCAATCACAGCTCACTGCAGCCCCAACCTCCAAAACTCAAGTGATCCTCTCACCTCAGCCTCCGGGGTAGCTGGGGCTATAGGCACACACCACAACACCTGACTAATTTTTATATTTTTTGTAGAGAAAGGGTTTTGCCATGTTGCCCAGGCTGGTCTCGAACTCCTAGCCTCAACTGTGCCTGCCTCAGCCTCCCGAAGTGCTGGGATTACAGGCATGAGTCACCGTATCCGGCCAATATTTGGCATTTTATAACACCTGAGAACTTGTATTAGTTACTAAAGAGTTCTTAATTTAATCTTTGGAACATATCATTCTGTTAGTATCTGCTAGGCCCTCTCTTCCACCCAGATTCTTATATTGCATTTTTAGATGGTAAGCCACTGGAACATGATTTCTGCAAAGTTTCTTAAATTTGTTACAGACAGTGTTGATAGTCTCCTATCTAACTTGGTAGCCAACATTTGTAAAACCTTCCTTCCGCTGAGGTAGATTCCTCATTCCAAATGTTTATATTATTTGCTGGCAGGGCATTCAGTAACAAGACATCTGTTCAGAAATCCTTTTAGAAACTTTCTTACATTATTTATGTCACTACTAAAGCTATTTCCCCTCCCCTAAAAAGCAGCTGCTTTACATACAATGAAAACATCATTATTTAGCCATGGTAGTTGATTTATGTTCTGGTTTCTTCTAGGTACCCATCATTGACTTTTACACACTAATTGGCTACAGAAGTCTTTCCCTTCTCCTCTGAAAGACTGTCAAATAACTATTTAACTTAATAGTAAATGTAAAATGCTATTCTTATGTTCTCTCAATTAAAAGAACATTTGTCATGATTTTTATGTAACTGCTTTTAACCTCACAAATCAGTAAGATCTCCCAAATAGCTGAGATGATTTTTGAAAGTCTGAACTTTAATCTGTTTTTCTCATGCAAACTTAATATACTTACCCCAAATTTCCACATTCCACATCATCAAATCTTTCATCTTGTCTCAAAAGAAAAAAGAAAAAAAATTTAAAGCCAATTAAGAGCCAAAATCAACCATTTTCAGCCTCAATTTTCAAATGTCAGTTTGTTTTTACCCAATTCTAGCAAATTTATATAGTGTAATTCCAAACTTCACTATTCGACATTTCCCCGTGGAAGAAAAGCAACAGGAACTTTTCACCATCTGTGTTGCTCTTGGATACCAGCCCCTCCCATCTGCGGCGCGGGCAGTGCAGCACCCAGGCTGGTCTTTGGGGCTCTGCCTGCTCCGCTGCGCTCTGCTCAGCACTGGAACTCGGGTAGTTACCTGCAGCTGAAGCGCTCTGGAGGCTCGAGGTCTGGAAACAAGGTGCCAACGGCAGATAGTGACTTTGTACATTCAACATACAAGTGGGAATTCCGATTTCCAGGAGGTGGGAAAGGAAAAACAGATATTTTAATCAAGTAAAGGTCGAGTCGGCATTTTTGAATAGCCCGTTTTCTGCTGAATCAGCTAATATTTCGGAAGCCTTTGAATTCCAAATTCCTACGGACTGTGGTTTTTCCAAAACAAAAGTGGGAAGGAAGTGTTTTTCAGTATAGAGAGGTTCAACCAGACTAAAGTTAAAAAAATAAAAAAGATAGTGGGGTGTATCGCCTGGTGGATATGCCTAGGAGGGCGAAAACACAGAACTTGCCAAAAACGGGGCGCTGGGGGGTGCAGTCTGACAGTCTACTTGTAAATATGTTTCATAACGAGGCTGCTGAGCTACAGAAAGCAAGAGGAGGAAGGCACAGATTCCAACAGCTCAAGGAATCTGCAAATACTGCTGGTTATTTTTGTTTTATGACAAGAGTTGTTTTTGAACGAACAACCACCAGCTACCGCCACCACCAGCAGCGCCCCGAAAATCGAAACTGGCCTCAACTGTACCTTTAAATCTTTTGCTCTGTCCCCACGCCCTCTGCAACTTTTGCCCTCCAGCTGTACTTGTTCCGGTATGAAACCTGGCAAATGGCAAAAATCTTGAAACAAGAAGAGTGAAAGAGCGGAGAGAAAAGGGAAGGAGGGAAGAGGGGGAGGACGGCGGAGAGAAAGAGGTGGGAGAGGGAAAGGAGCGGGGAGAGGAGAGAGGGAAGAAGAAGGATGAGAGGGAGGGAGGAAGAGGGAGAGAGGGAGAAGGAGATGGGAGGAGGGAGGAGGGGGAAAGACAGCCGGAGAGCGAGAGCGTGGGGAGTGGGGTGAGAGTGAGAGAGAGAGAGAGGACACATTCTGCCACCCTCCTGGCTAACTGAAATGCTTGTTCCCGAGATTACAGTAATTACAGCCCCAGCATGAGTTCCATACAAGCGCTAAATGAAACAGCACATCAATTAAAAAATAAACACTCCATTCCAGGAGAAAGACAGCCCCCTGGGACGCCCTAACGAGCGTAAATGAACCTGCCGGGCCGCGGGCCCGGGCCGCCCGCAGCCCCCCTCCCGGCCCGTCTTAAGGTGGCCGCGGAGCCGGCGGGGGCAGCGTGGGCTGGCGGTGGCCCAAGCGGCTGCTAAAAGCAGCTCGGGTCCGGCTCCGGCCTCGTACAGAGCGCGGATACGTGTCCCGGAGTCCGCGCCAGGGCGCAGCGCCGCCTCCCACCAGAGAAAAGGAGGCTCTGGCAAAAACATGTGAACTTGGGATGGATGAATAGACGTCCCGAGAGCCCAGGCGCAGGCAGGGAATCCAGCCCCGGAGTTTCCAGTCTGTCCTATTTATAAGTTTTGGGGTTTGTTTTGATTTTTAAAAAGAAATGGAATGATTTCTCCTAAGAAAGCACGGCGTCCCAGGGCTTTCTATATTTTGTCTCACCTAATTATCAAAACCCTCTTGGAGATCGTTGCTACGATCACCCAACTCTCCAGGTGGGGAAACTGACGCTCCCCCGGGTCACGCGGCGGAGGCGGGAGGAGAGTCCCAGGCGGGCATTTGTCCCCCGCACCCCCTGCGCGCCCAAGGCTGGGTTCCCGGGCATCTCACCCGGGACGTCCCTGGTCCAGCCCCAGTTTAGAATGACTCGACTCCCCCCACAACTCCAAGTCTCACAAGCCATCGTTCTGAGAACCCTAAGGTGGACACCTTTCCCCAGGTCCTCTCAGCGTCGGGCCCCTACAGGCCCCGCGCACTTGTCTGCTGTGGGACCTCTGCGCCGCCCCGAAGAGCGCGAGACCCCGCCGCCTGCAGGTCACCCGCATTCGCGGAGAGTGCCAGCGGGGGCTTGGCTGGTTTGAAACGCGCCGGGGAGGCGCACGCTGCACCAAACCCTGTCCCTGTCCCCAAGGGCGGACTCGGGGAAAGGGGACCAAGACCTCGGACGCACTCAGCGCCGTGGAGACAGCTGTGGCCAACGCTCTGTGTCTGCGGTCAATCCCAAGGTTACCAAAACTCTCCAACCGCAGAGAGTGCGCACAGAGGTGCGGACACTCGGGGACTGCCTTAAAGAAGGCTGAGCCCTGGGAGCTCGTGGACTCCGCCCCGCTGCCCGGTGATTGGTGTGCGGGGCTGGAGGCGGAGACCGAGTCCGCGCTGTATAAATATTCATGAGCCGACCGCGCGGCGCAAGCGGGGCCGGAGCCGGGAAGTTGGGCGAAGGGCGCTGCTCCCGCCGAGGAGGAGGCGGCGGCTGGGCGCGAGCCGCGCCACTCAGGTGTCCGCTCCGCCTTCCGGTCTGGATTTGCTCCTCTGTGTCCAGCAGGAAGGGGACTGCGTGCCCCTCGCCCGACTGCAGCCCGAGCGCGGGGCGGACTTTTCCTGGCGGCTGGGGTCCGTCTGTCCCCGCGGCGGGCGGACGAAGGACGGACGCCAGAGAAAGAGGGCGGCGGCCTGGGCCGAGGCTGGTCCCCAACTCCGGCGGCGGCGGCGCGGCCTTGGGGACTGGCATGAGCTCCTGGGGGCCGAGCGGGGGCCGCCAGGGCTGACCCGGCGCGGCGATCGGCCCGGCCCAGCCATCTTGACTGCGCACCGCGGCCCTAGAGGAAACTTGCTGCGCCGCCGCCCTCTGTGCCCGGCGGAGTCACTGCCGCCCGGCGCGGCGCGGCGCGGCGCGGAGAAGCGGTCGGGCGCGCGGAGAGGAGGCGAGCGAGCGCGGGACGATGAGCCGAGGGCCGGCCGCTCTGCGCCGCGAAGACTGAGCGCGCCTCAGGGCGAGCAGAGTGGACCCTCTGGGACCGTGGCGCACGCCTGCGGCCACCTTCAAACCCCCGGAGCGGCAGAAAGGAGTGCGGAAGGGCCCTGACCAGGCTGCGGACCGCGCCGCTGCGTTCGCGCCCCGAGAAGGGGCCAGATTATCGGCAGATCACCCTCCTCCCGGGCGAAGCAGAAGGGAGACTCCAGATCACCAGCTTTGCCGGTCTCCAGCTGTCTCGCGGGGCCCCTGGCACCAGTCTCCGCGCCGCCTGGAGGGCGAGGGCACCGGGCCGAGGCGCGCAGCATGGAGTGGGGTTACCTGTTGGAAGTGGCCTCCCTGCTGGCAGCCTTGGCGCTGCTGCAGCGCTCTAGCGGCGCTGCGGCCGCCTCGGCCAAGGAGCTGACGTGCCAGGAGATCACCGTGCCGCTGTGCAAGGGCATCGGCTACAACTACACCTACATGCCCAACCAGTTCAACCACGACACGCAGGACGAGGCGGGCCTGGAGGTGCACCAGTTCTGGCCGCTGGTGGAGATCCAGTGCTCGCCCGACCTCAAGTTCTTCCTGTGCAGCATGTACACGCCCATCTGCCTGGAGGACTACAAGAAGCCGCTGCCGCCCTGCCGCTCGGTGTGCGAGCGCGCCAAGGCCGGCTGCGCGCCGCTCATGCGCCAGTACGGCTTCGCCTGGCCCGACCGCATGCGCTGCGAGCGGCTGCCCGAGCAGGGCAACCCCGACACGCTGTGCATGGACTACAACCGCACCGACCTCACCACGGCCGCGCCCAGCCCGCCGCGCCGCCTGCCGCCGCCGCCGCCCGGCGAGCAGCCGCCCTCGGGCAACGGCCACGGCCGCCCGCCCGGGGCCAGGCCCCCG